TGAAAGCACAAAAATATAGGTAAAATTTTTTAAAGGCTTATGCGATCGAAAAATAGCCTAGACAGCAAATTTATAAAAAAAATTATTTCACATATGTACATATGTATGTACATAAAAATCTCAGTTAGTCTAGACTTAACTTAACTTAAAGTGAATCGTTAATGATTACTCTAAGCGCCAACTTAGCCAGAGGCGAAAATATTTTATTTTTCTATGTTCCTTTTCAGCTGATGGTCACTTTGAAGCCTATAAGCCATATCAAAAAATTCTAAATTAAATTAAGTCTAGAGTAACTGAGCCTAAATAACCATGAATACCAACAAATTTAATTGAATGATTTCGAAAAAAAAATTTACCGCCTTTCGGCGCCTTTCTACCACTCCCACTTCCAACTGCTGTAAATTCTGCCGTAATTTGAATTTCGGAATGAGGAAGCGTTGGTGTAACTCCATAAAGGAAATCTATAGCTCATTGTTTTATGATAAGAAGATCTCCGCTATACACAACTACACCCATACTGTGGTAGTAGAAACTACACCTCTTTGAAGGCAGTAAACTATTTCTTCCAAACCTAAGCAGACTTTAGCGGCTTCTTGGCTCAAAGCTACTACTGCTTTTTGGGATTTGTTTTTTTGCCGAGGGGGTTGCCCATTATCTTCCGTGTACCGAATGAAACAATCTTTTTTTCCCTTGAGTTCTGTAGGAAATTAAAAAAAAAAAAATTGATTCCTGTTGTTTTTGCTCTTGACGTCTGAAAATAATAACTTTATCGAACAGGACTAATTTTAAGCAGACAATTCATACACCAAATGAAAGTAGATATAATACCCTTTTAGCAGGTATGTATCGGGCGACATCGGACAGAAAAATTCACCCTCCACAAAATAAGAGCAATATGTTTTAATTTGTATAATCATAACATGCATTTTGAAACAGTGAGTTTTTCAAAAACACAAATGTTATTTAAAACCACCATTGTTACAGTTAATAGTACATACCATTAGTATTATTTTCCATTGCTAAAATAATCACACTTCAAACTTTTTATATACGCGAAACACATCCGCGATGCACTGCAGTTCAGTATATTAAAATTCTAGGTATAAACAAAAAGATAACATTTGCTTGATCTTCGTTAAACAGAAAGCAAATTCTCGAAACGTTGCTGTAATAAACTTATACATACAGTGGGGAGCAGAAATGAGTACATGTTGCTTTTTGTTGAATATTTGCAAGGTTTTTGAAGCTAATTTTTTTATTTGTTATTTTTACATAAAAATATGATTCAGGCTTTAAGAAAAACCAAATAAATCAAACTTTTAATTTTTATACAGAGCTTTGAAAAATTTCACAAATTTTTATTAAAAATTTTGAGCTTTTTAACTTGATTTTTTGAGTATGCAGTTTTGTAGCCCATTAAATTTTAGTGCAAGTTTTAAGTGGCTGCATAATCGCGCTCTCCAAAAACCTTGCAAATATTTAACAATATTGTCTGAGTAAGTGTAAGATTTGCAACACACTTAGAGAATGAAGAGTTTTTGTATCTGTTCAGAAAAATTAAAAAAATTAGGTATCAACGCATTGTACAATCTTTTTACTACTTAAACATTATCAGGTGGCCAAAAATCTTTTTTAAGTCTTCCTCTATGAACAGTTGTAAAATAATTTTGTATCGCCTCAACTTGAAGCTCAGCCAATTAATAATAAAAAAAAAAAAAAAAACTGAGTATTCAAGGTCACCTTTTCGCATTTTGGCACGAAAACAGCGCTTCAATTACACCTTATTCCTCTCATGTACTACCATTCTCTTACTTTAAATGCCCTTAGTGCCTCGCTTCTTCCTAGCACAGCTAATCTAGTTTTCAACGTACGCCTATCATCAAAGTCAATCGAACACAGCTTTCGCATTTTTTATCCATGCAATCTGTTGTATTTTATTTTTCCTGTTTTTTTTTTTTAATGAAATGAGTAGAAACTGAAAGCAAACCCTCTGCATCCGCATTTCTTCGGTCTTATACATCCATACATATGTATTTAGGTTTGGTGCCTCAGCTGCTCTTTTACTGGTTTTATTTGTTATTGGTTTTTACTTCGTTCCTCCATCCCATACACGCATTTTAACTATAAATTTTATATTCTGCAAAAAATGCGTGTCACGTGTATAAAATTGTAGTTGCGTGTCTGCTGTTTGCTGCTGACTCCCAAGTGTCGCTGTCGCTGGCAGAAACAAACGACAAGCCTCCGCCATAAGTGGCGCAACAGCGGTGGGGATTTTGTTGGTTTGTCATTCAGCCTATTCCAGCCTATCATTATTCTTATTGTCAGATCCGCTTTGTTAAGCATATTTTTTTGTATTATTTTATTTCGTTTTTATGTTCGACTTCCTTTTCTTTTTGTTGACTTTTATGTCCTTTATCTTTTGCTTTATTTATACGAATATGTTAATTCATTTCTTTCCTTTTGCAAAGCTTCGATTAAGGTTTTGTACACTGGTTGGCAGCGAACTAATGTATGATGTTCTCTCGGGAAGCGTCCATTTCAACCCTTTCTCCTTAAGGCGTTTAGTATCTATTGACAAGTGGAGGCGTTTGCCGATATCTGGCTTGTCTGATATCTAAAAGTTTGTCGCCAATGAAGGGATCGCGGCGTCAATAGAATCGCAAACGAACTTAAGATAAGCGTTTTTATAAAATTGGTGTTTGCCTTCTTAAGATCTGGCACATGTTTTAGCAATGGGAAGGAGAAAGAACCTTTTTTAGAGGTGCCTTCTGGGCTGAGCCTCAAGAATGAGTAGGAAGAAGAAACCATTTTTTGCAAAGTTTGAAGTTACTTCTGGGCCGCCATTCTGAGAGATTATAAATCAAGGACCTATTGAAATTTAACTTTTACCCTAGATGGCTCAGGAAGGGGATTACATGGTATCATGCAAGTGCATCGAAAGCCAATGAAACCTTATCCAATCTACTTATACTCCTAGGTAAAATTCTTCCCTAACCCGTGAGTTGATAGAACGTTAAAAAAATCAACTCTAGATTTGTGGCCAGCAAGGAAGCAGGTGGATTATTTAGAAATGCTACGCTAACAGCACTATTAGAATACACAAATAGGATCATCGTAGTCACTTTATTATAAGTAGGGATGTGCTGGATAGAAATTTTGCCGGATAACAGGATTTCGTATACCATGTAAAAAATAAGAGCCGCTAAGCAAAAGCGCGCAGTTGATCTATATTTATTAAAAATTTCTATGAAAATCGAGCTATTATGCATGCTTACATATCGTCCCGCTTCCCATATCGTCCCGTAATGCTTTATTGTCGCAATATTTTGTGACTCACGTTTCAAAACTCGTTTTTTTCGTACATCAATAAAGCTAAAAGTGGGTTTATGATGAAAAAACCAGTAGAATCGTGGGAAACAGGCCGACTCTAGTGAAAGCTTCTATTGAAGAGCGAGCTCACCAGGATATTTCTCAATGCTTTGAGGAAATCATCAACGGCTCTGATATTGATTCCAGTTTTTGTAGAAACAATAGGTAGACAAGGTAGCGACCATACAAGAAAAAAGCCGTGATTTCAAAAAATGGAGAAGTATTTACAGCTGCCTCTTATACTCATACAAGAAGACCCTTTAATTTGATGGAAGCATATTCGCAAATGAAGTAGTATCTCTGTGTGTGTATCCTCTCAGTGAACTCAGAAAGAGTATTTAGTGCATCGGGTAGCATTTATGTTGCAAACAGATATAGGTTGTTGCCAGATAATTCGGAAATGCTTCTTTTCATAGCGAAAAAAAAATGTTAAAATACAAAAAAAAGAAAAAAATATGTACTAGTTTTTAAATTGAATCTTCTATAATCGAAATCCGGAAATGCCGTCGGATTTAAACCAGTATCCGATGGAATAGTCGTATAACAGAAAAAACGTCGGATAAGCCGGATTCCGGATATTTAACACCGGCACATCCCTAATTGTAGGTAATTTATCGATATTTATCGATGTGATTATCAATACATGTATCGATAAATCTATGGATATGGTTAAAACTATATTTATCGATTAATCACAGAGAAAAATATGACCTATTGACACAAAAGATTTTCTCTATCAAAAGTTTCTAGGCTAAGGGATAAAACCGACGAAAAACCGAAGAAAATTCCATAGAGATTCCTTATTGATTTTATGTGATAATTATTATTGATTTTATTTATAAGAATATCTTTTAAAATCACAATCTGCTTAAGGCCACCACCGTAACCGAATAGGTCAACGAAGACTTATTGTTTTCATTTTCTATTTTTAGATTTAATTTAGTAATCCAATAAAATTTAAGAGAATACCTTCGTCACTTCATGAAAAAGATAATCCCATTAAAAATTAGGGGACTTTCTTCTTAAACAAAACCCCATAAATTTTTTTCTAGTTTTATTGGGTGGTTTTATATATAAAAATTTTACCGACATCGACTATTATCGATATGTTAATCGATGTTATTTTCAATATATTTGTCAAAATCGTCAAAATTATTTTCTTATGGTTATCGTAATCAATATGAAAATTGTTATCTACGTTGTTTTGTTATATTTATCGTTTAGGTACCATACATACTTGAATTCCTTAAAATTTAGTTTTATATATTCTATTTATTTTATTTTACGTTATTTCACCTTATTTTTTGTTGTATTTAGTTAATTTTTTTTTAAACTTTATTTAATTTTTTTAATTTTATTTCATTTTTTTATTTTGTTTTACTTCATTTTATTTCACCTTAATGTATTATATTTTTATTCAATCGCTTGTTTTAGTTTTTGAAACTTTTTATTATGTTTGTACATATATATTTTTTTTTATTTTAAATTTTTTCTAATTTTATGTTTGTGCTAATGTTTTTTTTTATTTCTGTTTTATTCTATCTTGTTTTAATTCATTTATTCGACTTTATGAGACAACACTATTAAAACGGCGGTCACACATAAATTTCATATTTTTTTCTTCTTTGCAGACACACCAACATCGCAAGCAATAAAAAAGGGTAAGTCAATAATCTCATAAAATAATTCAAAACTATTTCTTCAGAATAAAAAAAAAATAAAAAAGCATTGGAATGCTGCTGATCAGCTGTTGCATACTTGCTTCATAGTTATTAAATTATATTGAGTGCATTACTCCATTTGCCAACTTCAGCAGATCGGATGGCGACTGCCTGCCTGCCCAAATGTTGCCTCAATCAACCATCAATCCATCCATGCCACAGCAGCAGTCGCTCTTAATTCGAAAGACTAAAAAAAAAAATAAGAAATAAAAAGTAAATTATTTTCATGAACTGTTACGTGGTGAAACTGTATATGCATACATGCCTTTGTAGATATGTATGCGTACATTACGTACTGTTATCATTAGTTACTGTTTCCACTGAAGCTGCCGCGCTGCCACTTTTGATGTTGCTCTTTCCCGGTGCTTCTGTTGATGTTATCGTTGCCCCTGATGCCTTTGATAGCTACACTACGTATGTAACGTACTTTGCGTAAATGCATATGTTTTCCTCGATTCTATATACATACATATGTACATAGTGTACACGTTTGTATGAACATGTGTACATATATTTGCCTGTATGGCAATTCGGGAATCCATCATCCATGGCAGCAGCAGCTGCTGTTGTGTACGCGTGATTCTGAGCGGATTTCAACATGTGCGTCAAAGTGGCCATTAAATTGCGCTCCAATTCAGAACAAAACGAAACGAAACAACGAGCCATAGACAACAGCGCAGCAACAAAATAAAAAGTAGCAAAA